CCTAAAGGAAATCAAAGAGTAATACATGACTTTGTAAAACTGGAAGAGCATTAGGATTCAATTTCGCAGCACATATTTGTAGCCATTTACTAAAATCACAAAATTATTTTTATGAGGAGAGCCTAAAAGAAAATTGGGAAGTAAAGGACAGACTAAGATCCTGAATTAACCTAAGACAGACTCTCAGTGGATTAATAACCCAGTGACAAGAACGATATTTAGCTGACTACCTTATTAATTGGCTATGGCATTCCCAGGTGATGCAGATATTACATATTTTAGGATGGGCAGTGGATTAAAACTTGTGACTTAAAGTCACAAGGATTAAAACTTGATATATAAAAATGGGAACTTTTAACAAAAAGCATATTATCACCAGTACGGAATCAACCAGGTGGGTCTTTAGATACTTAAGTTTCTCCGGGGCCTTAAGCTGGGTCGGTGTCACTCCTTCCTTTAGAGCTATCAAGAGTAACAACAGAAGCTTCAGTAGTAGCTAATGTTTACTGTGTGCTTACTATATGCCAAACTTGAAGTGCTTTGTACATATAACCTCTCTTTAGTGTGGCAGATATAGTAAGTATCTTTGACAGCTCAGGGAACCAACACAAATAACTTGCCTGAGGGCACCTGGGTGGCTCAGTCGGTTGAGCTTCCGATTTTGGCTCAAGTTATGATCTCACGGTTGGTGAGTCCGAGCCCCACAACTGGCTCTCTGCTGTCAGCACAAAGCCTGCTTTGGATCCTCTGTTCCCCTCTCTCTCTGCCCCTTCTCCACTCTCTCAAAATTAAATAAACATTTAAAAAAAGTAACTTGCCTGCAATTACAATTTTTAAGTGATGGAAAAATAATTCCAAGCAAGAATTCTAACCTAGAACCCACTTTCTTAGCTATGTAGTGCAGCTTCCCTAAAGTTCTGGAGTAGCTTTCTGAACTACAGAACCAGAGTTTACAATTTCTGTACCTAACCTATCACTTCTGCATTTCTCAGAAGACTTGCTTCTCCTAACACTCACCATGACTAATTTCAGCTTTGTAGGGCGAGACAGTTCTGTCACATGAGATGAAAAAGCCTGAGGGAAAAACTGATCTGAGGCAAGAAATCAAGAATTCTGGATTTGGATGGTTTCAGACTGAGAAGTCCATGAGATATCTGAAAAAAGGTATGAAGTAGACATGACATGAAGTATACAACTGTCTATACTTCATTAGTTTGGACCTCAAAAGAGAAAACTGGGTTGACACATAAATCTGATATGGTAACAGTTTTTCCCTCAGGCTTTCTCATCTTAGAAAATGGAACTACCATCTTGGCCAGCTGGCCAGCCAGAAATCAGAGAATCATCTTTATTTTCTCCTTCATTCTTACCTACACATGCAATTCACCATCATTTATTTGGCTCTATTTCCAAAAGACACTCTATTTTTTTTTCAATGTTTTATTTATTTCTGAGAGAGGGAGAGAGACAGCATGAGCAGGGGAGGGTCAGAGAGAGGGAGACAGAATCTGAAGCAGGCTCCAGGCTCTGAGCTAGCTGTCAGCACAGAGCCTGATGCAGGGTTTGAACCCACAAACCGTGAGATCATGAGCTGAGCCAAAGTCGAACGTTTACCCAACTGAGCCACTCAGGCACCCCCCAAAAGACATTCTAAATCGATCCACTATTCTGCATCCCCACTGCCACTATGTAACTTACTCAACTATTGCCTAATTTACAACTTCTTTTTATTTATTTATTTATTTATTTTTTACATTTATTTACTTTTTGAGAGAGAGTGAGACAGAGTGTGAGTGGAAAGGGGCAGAGAGAGAAGGAGACACAAAATCTAAAGCAGGCTCCAGGCTCTGAACAAGCTTTCAGCACAGAGCCTGATGCAGGGCTGTCATATTCAACAAAACACAAAACCTGCTAAAACTTGAGCAGAGAGAAGTTTCAGAAAAGAAAATGCATGTGGAAAAGCACAAAAGTAAAAGAAGCCCTTGGGTTTCCCTTCATGGGATTATATTCACTTTCACCTCTCAATTTGCCAACACAGGTTATAGGACACCTTCCTTCACTGGATCATTATACAACATTATACAACTTCTTTATATTTTGGAGTATGGGTTCAATATGGAAAAGCATGTACTGGGAATTAAAAAACTGTAAGAGGATCCTGTAAGAAGAAATGCTTTCCTTTGACACTTTCTTCCCTCTCAAACTTTAAAAGGCTCTTTATTTTATTTTAGTAAGGGAGATTGTTCCCAAACAATTTTACTTTGCTCTTTAAGAAATCAAGAGATGCAGATATCCTCCTTCCAATAGAGGGAGTTATTTCTTCTCAGAGACTAAATTTAAGAGACATATAGTTTTTGGACCTGAGTAAGATAATAAGAATAATGTCCCCAGCCAAAAAAAAAAAACAAAAAAACAAAAAAAAAAAAAACAAGCAAACAAAAAAAAAACTTTACCCATTTAAGATATTTCAAATGAATATTTCTAGATTACACTGGTATATGTAATTAATACATATACATAAAATTCACAGCAGAGTTGGAAGACAGAAAAGATAAAAGTAAAAGAACAGAAGATGACAGCAGGAAGAGACAGTGGATGAAGGTTATATGACCTCAAAAATACAAACATGAAAGCAGCTTCTTCATACCTTAAACCACTTAAAGCCCAAATGACTGGTCTCATGCAATATTTCACTCAACAGCTTCAGATAGGCATTGAGTAGCAGAATGGTAAGGGGAAAAAAAAGATAAACAGGAAGAAGAGAAAGAAAAAAGCATGCAATTAAAAGAAAATTATATATACCCACTTTGGAAGACACTTTCACAGTTTCTCACAAAGCTAAATATAGTCCTACCATACAATTCAGCAATTTCCAGGTATTTACCTAATTGAGATGATAATGTATGTCCATACAAAAGCTTACACATAAATGTTTATAGAAGCTTTATTCATAATTGCCAAACACTGAAAGTAATCTACATGTTTTTCAATAGGTGAAGGAATAAACAAATTGTGGCATGTCTACACAATAGGATATTATTCAGAAGTTAAACAAAATGAGCTATCAGGCCATAAAAAGACACAGAAGAACCTTAAATGCAGAGGCTAAATCAAAGAAGCCAGTCTGAAAGGGCTACAAACTTTATTTTCAACTATACTGACATTCTGAAAGAGGAATAACTGCAGAGGGAGGAAAAAGATCAAGGATTAGGGAGACAGAGGAAGGATGAGTAAGTGGAGGACAGGGGAGATTTAGGGTAGTGAAACTATTCTGTAGGATACTGTAATGGTGAATACATGACATTATTCATTCGGCAAAACCCAAAGAACTGTACAAGATGAAGAGCGAACCAAAATGTAAGCTATGGACTAGTTAATAATGTATCAATATTGGCTCATCCATTTTAATAAACCTATCACACGAATGTTAACACCAGGGAAAACTGAGGTGGAGGAAGGAATATGTAGGAATTCCATGAACTTTCTGCTCAAGTTTTCTGTGAATTAAAAAAAAAAAAACTGATCTAAAATAAGTCTACTATAAATAAATAATACATAAACACACAAATATATAAATAAATCTACCCCCCAAAAGCAAACTATAACTAGTTCACACAATAATACATTTTAAAAAACACATACCAGTTTATATGCCATAATGACATGATGTATTAATTACTAACATTTCTATGATCCCCAAAATGTAAGACTTGTCATTAAATAATGATCCCTAAACAGAAAAAAAAATTTTTACAGGAAGAAAAAAAAAGGGGACGTTTTGAAAATAAAGGTAAGAATGTACAAAAGGTAAAAACAATAAAAGAAAATACCTCTTCACCCTGGAACAAACATGGTTACCATCCTTTCTCTGAAGCTCTCCACTACCCAAGCTCTACTTAACTATACATGAGGAAATAATCAAATTAGAAATGGACAAGTCATTTATGTAGGAACAAGGTACTGAAAGACATGAAAAGTTCCATCTCTGCTAATAAATATCAGTTTGTCTCTCTTTCAATACTTAACTCTAAAGAAAATGTATCCTCATACTAACAGTTACAAAAGGACTTTCTTACCCCCCACACTACAGCATGCCTGCTTTTGAGAATGCACCTTCTTCCTTGCTATTCAACACTATACCTTAACTCACAAGACCACTGGTGGTCTCATCATAGGGGTTCCCAAAAGATTCAGGTTACTCTCTCATTGAACCCTTTTTACCATGGATATTTCTCCAACAAAGAAATGGAAAGGAAACAATAACTAAAAAAATTAAATGCCATGAATCTCAGAACCTCTACTTACACTCTCAAATGGAAACTGATATTTGAGCTTTCATTTGTTAAAACCATTTTTCCATCCACATGTCCCATCTTTAGTTACTCCTCCTAACAAAAAAGTTAAAAGCTACTGCACGGGGATCTAAAAGATGTAGAAAAATATATAAAGCAAACACCACACACGGCAACAGTAGAACTCTTTAACAAGTCTCCTCGGGGTTGAGACATGTTGATTTGTTAGTCTCCAGTGTCATATCTATGTCCTTCATACTTGCTATCAACTTTAACTTGCTAGAACTTTAACTGCCCTTTTGAACAAGGCAGGGCATAAATAAACTATCTGCTATTTAAAATTAACATTTTAACTCAGATATGTTTGTGTTTTCCCATTCAATTTAAAAGTAGGATTGTGACCAGTCTTGCGACGAACAGACAAGTTCCATTTCGTCTCACCAGATACGTGAGCATATACTACCTAAATACATGTGAAACAAGTCCCAAATTATGAATGCAGAGATTTTTTAACATAAGTAAATTAACATGAGCCAACTCTTACGCAAACATAAAAATTTCAATTCTTATTGAAGTCTAAATACTTATACCTGATGAAGTGCTTCTGAAGCCCTATAAACATATGCAGAGTTTGCCTAAACTTTACTGGTTGGGTTTTACCTGTTGTTTAACCAGCAGCATTGCCAGTAAATGTATAAAACTGCAGACCTGGTTTTCAGCACTGGTCCTGGCTGATTCCTCTTGTGCTAGCACCATTTCTCGCTCTGCAGTTATCTGTACACTTTCTCTTAGTGCTTCTTCCAGCTCTTCAATCCTGTCATCCTTCTTACGGAGACTGTCCTGGAAAACGATGGAAGACCAGGTGAAGTAGACTAATTAGTTAATCCAAGGAGAGCCTATTGACCAAGAAAGGGTTATATGCTTATTAAATATTCTTCCCTTCAGAAGTAAAGCCAAGCCAAAAAGATATCTTCACAGAGGAAAGAACAAGGGAAGAACAGAAGTAGAATAGAAGGTTGAAGAAGTATATTATGAAGAGCAAAGCATCAAGTTAGTTAAGCAAGAGAAACCTGGGATGGATTTGTTCTCTGTAACACAGAGAATTAAAACTGTGTTAAGCAGCACACGCAGCAAGGACTTGATTACTTAAAAACACAAAGCTGTTTTTGAACTGTCCTCTAAACCTGGCTTCAAGCCAGCTTTGATGAAGCCTAAGTAGTAAGACTCAATACCAAAACATTCTCTCTCCCCGAAAAGTTCAGCCTAGATGAGAACATTAGATAAACAGCATGATTTTTCAGATTATATTTTTCATATAGACACTTGTCAGCAAACTAATTTAGATAAAAAAGAAAGGAAAAAGAAAGAAACCCTAACTCTAATGATTTCAAGACAGCAAAGTTTTCTCTTAATCTCATATGAGAAAACTAAAAATGATAACTGAATATAAGTAATCTGGCTAAGGATGAGTAATTTCGTTAGCCAACCAATTCCCACTAGCCTTGATATTTTAAATAAGCTGAAAAATTAACTCTTGGGAAGGCAAATATGGATTTCTATCAGAAAGACAAAATCCTATAGAACTTTATGAACACATTAAGAAAGGAAAGATCTTAAAATAAGAAGGAAAAATGTAGGAAAGGTCAAGCAGTATTAAGAATTAGATTCATCAAATAATAAGCATTTCCTGTTTAAATTCTTCTAGAACCAAAAGATTAAAAATAAGTGCCACTTTTTATTAATACAATTAAATTAAAAACAAAAGAACAAGAGTTACTAAAACATTCTCCAACTTTCAGGATACTTGCATCAATAAAACATATCAAAGGATTTTGCCTTTTTGTGTGCACCTCTCATTTAATTAGGTTTAGTTCACTTTTATAAGTGCAAGGCAACAGGGGGCACCTGGGTGGCTCTATCGGTTAAGTGGCCGACTTTGGTTCAAGTCATGATCTCAGTTTGTGGGTTCGAGCCCTGGACTGGGGCTCTGTGCTCACAGCTCAGAGCCTGGAGCCTGCTTCAGATTCTGTGTCTCCCTCTCTCTCTGCTCCTCCCCTGCTCATACTCTGTCTCTGTCTCTCTCTCAAAAAATAAAAATTAAAAAAACAAAAATAAAAAAACGTATAAGTGCAAGGCACAGAAAGTCCTTCCTAATGACTGTGTCTTCAGAAACCCAGAGCTTGAAATCTGTCAAAGGTAAGTCAGATTTTTCTTCCAGCACTAAAAGAATGACATCTTACTATATAACACCTTTTGTAATAGAAGGCTGACAAATCTTTTGTTCTCTCTCATTTTTCGCAACTAAATAAATGAGATTTAAAAAAAGAATACTCACGTTTCAGTAATGTATGCCATGTTCTTTTTTTTTTTAAGTGTTCATTCTTCTAATAGAAAATACCCTAATAGAAATACCTAATAGAAAATACGTTATAAAATACCCTGATTTGGTCCCATTGGTAAGGTTCTGTCTTATACAGGGCAGTTTAGCTATATCAAAAAATGCTCTTTCTTGAAATCTTAATGTTTCCAGGCAGCTTGCCATGAGTAGCAGAGTATAGCTTCTAAACCCGTTGAAGCTACAACTATAGGTTCCTAAAACAATGCCAGGGTACATGAAATGATGCCAGTAAAAACAAAGGCCAAGGTAGTTGGCCTTTTTAGTTCAAAGAAAATGAAATGTAACAGAATGATTAGGTGGAAAGGAACAGCTCAGTGAGCTCAGTTCTCTCAAAATCTCTAACGAATAACTTTATTTGTAGTAACATGGGATTTTGAATTTCAAATTGTAAGCAAAAAGAAACACTAATGTTTCCCATTATCAACTCGTTGTGAATAACTCAGAAGTATGTTTTTGTCAGGTCAGTTATATTCTTCAGTCTCAAACTGTCTTTTGAAGATCTCCTGAGAGGCTTCTGTTATTCTAATCTAAATTATCCCAAAGAACTTCCCAGAACCTCTTTCAAGCAAACAGGCTTATCTGCATTTCTGCACGGGCTGAAAAAGAGCTTTGCGGTTTTATCAGCAAAACTTTTTTAGAGAGATGATATTTAATAATTATAATACAGATAATCAGTGCAGGTTTTCATACTGAAAGTTTCATCAAAACCGGTAGGAAAACCACAGTCTACCAAATGAGCTCACTGTACCATGCCATTTATTTAAGCAAAGTTTTCCAGAAGGGATGCCTGGGTGGCACAGTCGGTCAAACATCTGACTTTTGGTTTTGGCTCAGGTCATGATCTCATGGTTTGTGAGTTCAAACTACACATCAGGCTCTGTGCTGACAGTGTGGAGCATGCTTGGGATTCTCTCCCTCCTTCCCTCCCTCCCTCTCTCTCTCTCTGCTCCTCCCCTGCTCTCTCGCTCTCAAAATAAACCTAAGAAAAATTTTTTAAAAAGAAAGAAAAGTTTTCTGGACTTCATGGTAAATAAAGCCTTGCTCAAAATCTGTGTCCATAATAAGGACAAAAAACAAAAGCCAAGAAACACCATAAATAAAAAGAAGAAAACTGATAAACAATATTCATGAAATATTATCAATTAAAATCAATGTAAAGCCATTTGCTATAAAGAAGATATATTAAACCACAATAGTAACAGGAGAATGAAGACAGCAAATACCCTCATCACCTTTAACACCAATACCAACAAAGTCCATAACTACTTAATCCAAGAAAGTAAAATTTGGCTCCAGCTTTATTTTCAGAATCTTAATAGATATCTGCTAAGGTAAACCAAGGAAGTTTCCTTTGTACTGAATTGAAGTTGTTTCATTCAATAAAATATTGAGTCAATGCCATAAATGAATAGAATCTTTCAGTCCTACAAATACTGGAGTCCTAAACACACTGATAGATCATATTTATAATTACTGTTCTTATTACGCTTTCAGTGAAGATTAAATACATTTTCTATAAGTAGACTATAACATGGGTATTTTCTTTCTTTCTCTCTTGAGTGTGGAACACTGGAGAAAAGAATTTTAAAAGTTTGGAAAGGCCAAAAATGATCACCCACAAAGAATAAAAAATTGCAAAGTACTGGAATTTTTATTGGAAACACGTTAGGGAAAAAGAAGACAACTGAAGTAATGCCTTCACAACTCTGAAGGAGGGATGCTTTCTGATCTAGAATTCTACACCCAAGCTACCATTCAAAAAAGGGAAGAATCTACCTCACATCACAGACTCTCTCAGAAAGCTAGTAGGAATGTGCTCCACCAAACTTAAGAAGTACAGCTAGAAGAGGAAGACATGCGATCCAGGAAAAAAAAGGGATCAAACAGAAATGAGTGGTGAACGTAACCTAGAGGGTAATGACAAGCCGAGAGAATAACTACAATTTGGAGGAGAGGACAGATACTCAAGGAAAGGTGTTTCCACGAAAAAACAGCAGATGAATAGATTATGAGGTTAATAAATAAGGGATGATGTATTCTATAATAGTACCAATATCGAGAGAAGTGTTATAGTAGGAGAAAGGAATTTGGGAATAAAATGATGATATGTACACAAATAAATAGATAATAAAACAAATTTAAAAGCTGAAAGCTATTATTATCGAGAGGATAAACTAAAGGTAAACTAAAGAAGGAAATGAAATCATAATATACTACGTGCCTGAGACATAATAATGTAAAATTTGATAGAACTACATTAGAAAGATGGAAGGAGGGCAGTGTGTATGATGACTTGCATAAAAAGGCTAATTCCTTATGATTTCATGGTAGGAAGTCAGTAGGTAACTAATATCCAAATAAGGAAAATAAGAAAACAACAGTATAAGAATGTCATTTGGAAAGGTAGAAGTAAACAGCAGAAGAAACAACCAAAAAAGGTGAAAGTGCTGGTCTCAGAAGAGCAAGAATCCAGGTTAGACAAGAATGAGGTTAAGGGCTATCACAATTAATTGTAAGCCATGTATTATTTCACTCTGTAAATGACATAAGTAGGTATTGTTCAGAAAAAATTCAATATCAAATTTAAAAATATGTTAAAAGAGAATCATGTACTACAAATAAATTAGTAAAAATACAAGAATTCCTGGAAATAGTTATAAATGTAACTATTTCAGGTACAGATATTCTAAACATATGGGTTATTTACTACGGAAAGAGAATAGTCTGGGCAAATATACCTCAAAATAGAGCTAATGGTGAAAAAAAAATAGGAATTTTAAGTCACTCTCATCCTCAGTTTATTATCCAAAAGTTAAATTTCTTCATGACAATAATTTGCATATCAAAATTATCAGACATTCTTTCCCAGTCCTTAGGTAATGGTGATATATTTTAAATAAGAACATTTTTAAGAGATAAAATATTGTAATAAGTTCTGCTAATATTCTAAAGATGCCTAAAGTTTAAATATCCCAATATTATATGTGTAAGACATAGCACCAAGCCCAAATTCAAATAGCACAAACTATTCTGCCAACAGAGTAAAACAAACTTTGGATTTAAAGGAAAAAGCATTCAGCATATGGTATATCACTTTAATACCTAAGATATAAAGTCCCTGGTATTAGGTGTTTACTGTTAAACAATAAGTTGCCCAAAACATAGCAGCTTAAAACAACAGTGAACATTTTTTATCTCACATAGCTTCTGTGGGTCTGGAACTCAAAAACAGCTTAGCCAAACAGTTCTGGTCTCTCATGGAGTTACAGTCAAGATATCAGTCAGGATTCAGTCCTCTGCTTCCATTTACATGGTTGGCAAGTCAGTGATAGCTATTGGCAAGGGGCCTCTGTTGTTCTCCACAGGGCTGCTTGAGTGTCATTATGATATGGCGCCTGGCTTTCCTCACAGCAAGTGATCCAAGAGAACACGGCAGACACTC